GAGGTCAAAGAATAGAAAGGTCATCTCTGTGGATATTCGAATCACCAAGAATTAGGACAGGAGTGGTTTAAGGGGAGTGACAGTGAGCCAGGAGTGGAAATCTAGGAACAAGCAAGAGGGACTAGGGATTAGTAGACAGCCGCAACCGGGAGCTGGAGGGTTTGGGGCAGGCGGGAGGAATGGTAATCTGGAAGTAAACATAAGGAGCAAGAGGCAGCCACAGAGATCTGGGTTGCAGACAGAGCAAGACCGTGGAGAGAACTGGCAGGAGAGAGGTGCTCTCGCTCATGGTGCTTAAGTTCCAAGGGCACAGAGAAGGCCTTTGGGAATGGAGAAGGGCTGGAAGATGGGGCAGAACCTCCTGGGGATTAAGGTCCCGAGGGATGGCCTGGGAGCCTGGGCATCCTCGATGGATGAAGAGAACAAGGATGCACAGTTGATGGCGCTCTTTTGGCCTGACTTGTAGCGTTTGCCCATTTCCATGGTATAAATCCTCCCATGATGGCTCATTTCAAGCTACTAGTGGTTTTACAGGCAGCTTACAGAATGCCTGGAAATTGAACAATCGGCTCTCACAACAGTACAAGCTGCTCCCAAGGGCAGAGCAATGGGTACAGGGCATCTTGGGAGAGGCCCTGATGGTCTCCAAGGCAGACCTGGTGGGATGTGAGAGCAGGGGCAGAGGTGGGGGCGGGGGTTAGGCATGCCGCTCTTCCTAGAACGAGAACTCTAACCCCCCTTTGACTTCTGTCATGGAGCAAAGAGAAACGGGTTGCATATTTAAATGGTCTTAATACGTATTTTTCTGTATCTCTGTGATGAGTTGCCCAGATTCCTCTTCCAGGCAAGACCTGTCACCCCCGCTGCCGGGAGTGCCTTCAGCTGTGAGCCCCTGCAGGGCCCCCTCGCCCAAAGTCATGGCCAGTTTCCCTTCTCTGGGCCAGGCTCCTCCAGTGACATATTGATGTGGGGGCGTAAAAGTCGTCCAACTCTGCCCGACTCAGGACAGCACCCCAGCTCCAGGTCTCCTCGTGGGAGCTATTGCTGGGTCTGTTTCAAACTTTCCTTCTGCTTCTGACCTGCCCTTCCCTCTCCTTCCTTCCACAGGTATTGACTCTAAGGCCAGTCCCTGATAAACACCCCATCGCTTACTAACTCCATTTCAGACTCTGCTTCTAGAAGAACCCGACTTTTGCAAGGCTTACTGCCGGTGGAGGTGAATTCTTTAGGAGCTGAGCCAGTTGGATAGAGCCGAAAGGTGCCTCGTTTCAATTTGCCTCGCTTTGATAACTGGTGGGGTTGATTTTTTTTTTTTTTTAACAGGCATTGACTGAATTACTTCCTGTATGGATTGCCTTTTTTCATTATTTCCTTTGCCTGTTTTTCTATTGAGGTGTTTGTCTTTTTCTCGTTGGTAAGAGCGCGTATATGTATTACCGTCATAAAGATATTAATCTTTGCTTTTTGTATCTGGTTCAAGAAATGTTCTCAGGTTTTCCGGTGTAGGCCTCTGTTGTGGTTAAGAGCACATGCGCGGTCACAATGCCCTATCACTTCCTAGCTGTGTGACTTTGGGTACGTTCCTTCACCTACCAGAGTCTTGGTTTTTTCATCTATAGCTAGGATTAGTATTAACACTTTGTAGGCTCGTTATGGGGACTGGATGATTTAATAAAAGGTTTACAACAATAGTTGTTTACAACAACTCTATTCAATAGAGTGGATATGAGATAATTATTTGCTTTTTTTTTATTAGCATCTGTATTATTTTTTCTTCTCAGCCATACAGAGATTACATCTCATGTACTCAAAGCTATCTTTTTGGGGCTTCTGGGTGGCTCCGTCGGTTGAGCGTTTGACGCTTGGTCTCGGCTCAGGTCCTGATCTCAGCGCTGTGAGTTCAAGCCCCATGTTGGGCTCCACGCTGGGTGTGATGGGGCTCCACGCTGGATGTGAAGCCTACTTAAAAAAAAAAAAAAAGCTATCTGTCATGGGTTTTGCCTTTGGAGTTATATTCAGGAAAAACTTCTTGATTTCAAGATTATATAAACATTCACCACCATTTTTCATTTAGTACTTTTATGGTTTCATTTAATATACATATATATTTGAATCCCCCACCTATCCAGAATCCAGAATTTATTTCGGTGTGCAGTTTAGGCTTGTTTAGTAGGGACACGTTTCTCGAATGCCCAACATTACTTCAAGGAGCTGAATCACTCGGCGTTCTCCAGTAACATGGAAGCAAGAGGATGTTTATGGATATAAAGGGAGATTTCTTATGAAGAATTGGTTGACACAGTTTTGGAGGCTGAGAAATCCCACGGTTTGCTGTCTGCACGCTGGAGACCCCGAAAAGCTGGTGGTGTGGTTCAGAGTCTGAAGGCCTGAAAACCTGGCGAGCCAGTGGTATAAATCCCAGTCTGAGGGCAAGAGGAGGTGAGGGGAGAGGTCTCGGCTCAAAGAAGCAGGAGAAAAGGGAGAAATTCCTCCCTTTCCCACCTTTTGTTCTATTCAGGCCATCAATGGATCGGGTGGTGGGCACCCACATTATGGAGGGCAATTTACTGAGTGCACCGATTCAGATGCTAGTCTCACCCCAAAACGCCCTCTTAGGACACTCAGAAATAATGTTTCACCTGGGCACCCCATGGTCAGGCAAGCTGACACATAAAACTAACCTTCACAAGTCTATCCTTTGTCGAATTGGCACCTATCTCCTAAACCATACTTATCTCCAAATAAACATGAACAAGGTCGTGATTCTGCCCACGCGATACGGCTATTCTGCGTACAACAGAAAACTCTCCCACTCCCTCCCCAGAAGACGAGGTAAAGTCCTTGAGTGATGTTTACACTTCTCCTTGATCTTCTGTGACATAAATACCATGATGTAAAATTAACAATACTTAAACACTATGATATAAAGTCAACATGTCCTATGTTACATGACAAGGAAATAAGAGAGGAAAGAACACACGTACGCACACATGCACATTCATAGAAAAATAAGGAGGAAATACTCATGGCAATCACAGTCCTTGTCTCTGTAACTGGTCATGTGGTCATGGCTGGTATTTATAACAACTTCCTTCTACTACCTGTTCTTATTCCCTTTGCCTTAGCAAGCACCTTAGCTGGTCATGGTCTGTTATATGGTGGGGTGACCCAAACCTTCATTCCTGAAGGGTCTGGGCCACTCGTAGTCTTGCCTGGATTGGGTGGTGGCAGTCTCGTGAACACTAACCACGGGGCATGTGATACTAGGAGACGCCATTAGGGATCTCCTGTTTTCCAAACATACTCTTCCCTCCCTCCGCTGTGGAGGAGTGGCCTCATTTCCCCTTGAGGTCAGGATCAGTCACCCCAGCCAACACCATATCTCCCTTCCTTGCCTGCTGTTTCAGAGGCATGAGGAGCCCAAAGTGCCTGGATAGCAGACTTCACTTCCGGTTCAACAGGATCATTGTTGTGTCTGCCGGTGGAAGGATTCCTTCCTCTGGAAGTAAGACCTCTAGGCCAGCAGAACATCAAGCTGAGGCAACAGGAAGTAAAACTTTTGTTTGTGGGTCACTAGGGGTAATAGCGAGTGGTGCCATTCCCACTTCTACACCGTGATTCCCAGATCTGCGGATCCTGGCTATGGATGGGAGAAGTGGCACCATATAGTGGGTGCTCTTCAGAGCACAGACAACCTTCTGGAGAGCCTTGTTCGAACCCTGTGAGGTACGACCACCCGGTTGCCTCGTAACTAAGTCTTCCCAGGGCCTTTCTACCCCACTCTCAAGCCGGCTGCCTCAGGATAGTGGGGAACATGGAAAGACCAATGGATTCCATGAACATGGGCCACTGCAGCACGTCTTTTGCTATGAAGGGAATTCCTTGACCAGAAGCAATGATGCGTGGAGTACCATGACAGTGGAGAAGGCATTTTGTAAGTCCACAGGATGGTGGCTTTGGCAAAAGCAATGTGTGCCAAGAAGGAAAATCCATACCCAGAGTAAACGTCTTTTCCAGTAAGAATGAAACTCTGCCTCTTCCACAGTGAAAGCAGTCCAATTAACGAACCTGCCACCAGGTAGCAGCTGGCTGAACATCCCAGGAAACGGTGCCATACCGGGGGCTCAGCGTTGGTCTCTGTTGCTGGCAGATTGGGCACCCTGACAGACTGTAGCCAGATCAGCTTTGGTGAGTGGAAGTCCATGCTGCTCAGACCATGCATCATGTCCGTCCCTGCCACCACGGCTGCTCTGTTCACAAGCCCATTGGTGATGACAGAGGTGGCTGGGGAAAACAACCACCCCTTCATTATCAAAAGCTAGGTACTTGCTTATTAAAATTCTCCAGTGCTGAGGTCACTTTCGGTGAGCATTCACAGGAGACACAAATAACTTCGTGTTTTTGGCCACGTTTTGGCCCATGTTTCAGCCCATTAACCGTCCGAACCGTGATGGCCCTTGCTAATATCTCAAGCGGCAACATTCAGTACAGAACTTCTGCTTCGTGAGTACCTGTCAAAATATTTGGTTAATCCCCTCAGATGCGGGTGGAAAGTCCGATACCTCTATAGGTGGAGAGGCCAATACCGCTGACGGGTGGGGAGACCCCTTCTACTGGTCCAAAAGACTCATCAGAATGTAGGGGCTCGATGTGTCCAGCTTCATCAGTGCCCATCCACACTGGGGGCAGGTAGCAATCTGCTGAACTGAGACCACTGAGGCAAGTGCCGATCTCATCCCGAAACACCCTCACAGACGCCCTACGAAATAATGTTTAACGTGGCCAGTCAGGTTGACATGGAATTAACCATTCATTACAGGACCTGGTTCCAATTTTATTCAGGATTAATGTTTACTTATTTATTTTATTTTGAGAAAGAGGGAGACAGAGAGAGAATCCTAAGCAGGCTCCACGCTCAGTGTGGAGCCCAACGCATGAGATCGTGAGACCATGACCTGAGCTGAAGTCAAGAGTTGGACGCTTAACTGACTCAACCACCCAGGCGCCTCCCAATTTTATTTAGTTTTCAATAAACCTTTTATTTGAGGACACTTTTACAGCTACCCAATTATTATGAAGATAGTACAGAGAGTTCCTATATACTCCACGCGGTGTCCCTTGCTATTGATGATATGGTACATTTGTCACATTTATCGAGCCTGTGTTGATACATTATTATGGACCAAATTCCGTACTTCATTCAGATTCCGTTAGTTTTTCCCTATTGTCCTTTTCCTGTTCCAGGACACCTTCCAGGACCCACATTACATTCAGTCATCTTGTCTCTTTAGGCTTCTCTTGGTGGTGACAGTTTCTTAGCCTTTCCTTGTTGTTCTGACCATGACGTTTTGACGACGACTGGTTGAATGCTGTGTAAGACGTTCCCCAACTGCGTTTTTCCTGGGTGTCTTCCTCGCATGTCTTTCTAGCGATCTAGGGATCTGGGGAGGAGAGCACAGAAGTCAAGTTTTATTTCCATCACATCTTTCAAGGGACGTACTCTCAACGTGATGCATCACTGTGGACGCTGACTTTGAGCACTTGGCTGAGACAACGTGTGTCAGGTTTCTCCTGACCAAAAAAAAAACCAAAAACCAAAACAAAACCGCATTACCTCTTACCTCACTGCATCCACACTGTCACCTCCAGAAGGGAGTCACTTGAAGCCCGTACTTGTGTGGGGAGTCATCCCCTTCAATGTGGAACATCTGCAGCCAGTATCTGGAACTCTTCTGCACGGGACATCTGTCTCTTTTCCCACATTCGTTTATTTATTCCATCATCTATGTCGATGTGAACTTGTGAATCTTTTTTTTTTTTTCACTTTGGGTTATAATCCAATATGAGGCTATTTACTTTTTGTTCAGATTGATCCACCGCTGGCATTGGGAGCTCTTTCTGTCACTCTGGGGTCCCTTTGTCATCATTGTTGCAATCTTTCGTTTTTTGAGCTCTGCACTTCACCGTCAGTCCCTGTGTTCTAGGGGGACAACCCTGCCCTCCCCCAGGGTGTTGCCATGAAGCCCGAGTCTCTCGGTGCCTCGGGCCTGACCTCCTATGGAAGGCGCCGGTGAGGAGACTTATCCCGGGACAGAACCACCAGGAAGGGAGAGGAGCCAGGAGGGGCACACACAGAAGGGAGAGAGAAAGAGCCAGAGGAAATCCTGGGTCTCGTGTTACCGGATCTCGGACTGTTCAGTTTTTCTTTTTGCTTAAGGGGATTTAAGCTGAGATTCTGTCGCTGGAAACAGACGATTTAATAGACAAGCCTCCGTTATGGTTTCTGTTTTAACCTGCTCGGGAGGCAGAGCAGAACGCTACAGACTGGGCGACATCAACAACAGAGCGATTTTCTCAGAGCCCTGGAGGCCAGAAGTCTGAGAGGAAGGTGCTGTCAGAGAGAACTCTCTTCCCGGCTCGCAGACACCGCCCTCTTGCTGTGACCTCACCTCCTCCGTGTGTGCGTGGAAAAAGAGATCTCTGGTGTCTCTTTTATTTTTTTAGTAGGACTTGGGCCCTATAGGATCAGGGCCTCACTCTCATGACCTCATTTATCCTTAAAGGCCTCCTTAAAGGCCCTAACTCCAAATATAGCCACCTTGGGGGTTGGGGATCCAACATATGAACTTGGGGAGGCACAAGTCAGTCCATAACAGGCTGAGTGTGTCCCCCCCCCCAATTATCTGCTAAAGTCCTAACCCCCAGCACCCCAGCATGTGATCTTATTGGAAATACGGTCTTTGCAGATGTGATTAAGATGAGGTCATTATGGTGGGCCCTTCTCCAATATGACTGATGTCTTTATTTTTTATTTAAAAAAAATTTTTTTTTTACGTTTATTTATTTTTTTGGGACAGAGAGAGACAGAGCATGAATGGGGGAGGGGCAGAGAGAGAGGGAGACACAGAATCGGAAACAGGCTCCAGGCTCCGAGCCATCAGCCCAGAGCCTGACGCGGGGCTCGAACTCACGGACCGCGAGATCGTGACCTGGCTGAAGTCGGACGCTTAACCGACTGCGCCACCCAGGCGCCCCTTTATTTTTTATTTTAGAGAGAGAGAGAGGGCGAGCGCGAGCTGGAGAGGGCAGAGGGAGAGAGACAGAGAGAGAGAGAGAGAATCTTGAGCAGGCCCCATGCTCAGTGCAGAGCCCAACTGGAGGCTTGATCCCTTGACCTTGGGATCATGACCTGAGCCGGGATCATGACCTGAGCCGGAATCAAGAGACCAGCACTCACCTGGCTGAGCCGCCCAGGGGCCCTTCTGACACACTTCTTTCTACGCGGCCACTTGTCCCAGCTCTGCACAGTCCCAGCAATATTGCCCTGGTCGTGCCTTCTATCAGGGGCTCCGGGGGGCTGTGCAGCCTGTCTCCACATGGCAGTCACCCCCTCGGTTCCTCCCAGCTTCTCTCTGCACCCGGCCACCCGGCAGCATCTCCCAGGCTGGCCCGCTTGGAGGGTGCGGGACTGCGCGGGCCCGTTCCTGTCCACCAGCCCCAGGGCCCCGGCTGCTTCGGTGATGAAAGGAGCATTGCCGAGCCCCCGCGGGGCCGGCGGTGAGTACAGCAGACCCGTCTCTGCGGTGGCAGACGCCACGGTCTGACAGGGAAGTCAGACCGCGGACAGTGTGGTGCGCCCTGCACCGGTGGCTCGACGCCCAGCCCCGCTCCCTCCGCGTCCGAGCCCGGCAACCCACCACGAGCCTCCCCCTACTTGGCACGGTGCCTCCTGGGGGCCAGCTGAGGAGGGGGTGGGGCGGGCATTCCGGAGGCTCCCCAGCAGCGGCCACCGGGCGGCAGATGGGGAGGACCAAAATCTCACACGACACTTGCATGGAGAGGACAAATCGTGGCCAGCGTGTGTGGGAAGGTGCGTCTGCAGGGCTGGCTTGGCAGGAGGGCACCTGCTCTGACCCCGGGAAGGGCTTGATTAGCTTCCTGCTAGGGAGGCCCTCTGCCCCTGCTCTCTCCCTGGACCCTGTCCGCAGCCAGTCCTGTTTCGCCAACATCCCCCCACGCACCCAGGTACCTGGCCCCGACCCCTGAGTCTCCGCACTGTGCTTTTCCCCAGGGAAAGACCACTCTCGTGTTACGGTGACCTGGGGACCTGCATCCGTCAAGCTGGGCCACCAGCCTCCTTTGGGATGAACGAACCTTGGGGCTGAGAGGCCATGACCTCCAGCCCCTGTTAGGCTGGCACTGGCCAGGCTGTGGGTAGACAGGGCCCTGCTCTAGAACTTACGGAAGGAAGTGACTTTCTTGGGAAACTTCTCTGGAAGGTTAAACCATTTGACCCCCCATGAGAAGAACTGAGGGCCACGACCTGCCCAGAAGTGGATGCTTCTCTCTGCTCTAGCCCTTCCTGGTATTCCCAGCCCCTCCCCTTGCTTTCCAGAGAGCTCTGGAAGACCCGGAAGAGAGGAAAGCAGGTAGCCTCTCCCCATCCTGTCCAAGCAAGAACCTCCAGAAGCTTCCTTCACAGCCCTGCCTCACCCAGGCTGCCTGGCCCTTCCCACCTTAATATCACCCTTCCTCACTCATCAGACAGCTAGCCAACGAGATCAAGTTTCTTCTCACTCTGTGTGTGTGTGGTGGTGGTGGTGGTGGGGGGGGGTATCGTAGCTCATACAGCTCTCACATCAGAAGGCCTTGGAACTCTCCAGACCAGCACCATGCGGCAGAAACAGAATGAGAGCCACATAGGTAATTGGAAATGTTCTCGCAGTCACACTGAAAAAGAGAAACAGGTGACAGTAATTGTAAAATATCTTTGATTTAACCCAAAAATCCCAGACACCATTTCACACGCGATCCATGGGACACGTACTCTGATTCCTGCTAAGTTTTCACGTTCCCTTCCCCCACTCCTGTGCGTTTACAAGGCAGCTCAGCTCAAAGGGGTTCAGTGGCAGCGTGAGGACAGCGTGGCCCTGGGCCGTCCTGGGAGAGGAAGGGGCTCACAAACACCACCCAGGAGGTGGTGCGCGGCCGACCTGAGACCAGAACCGAGCTCGTCAGTCCCAGAAGTGGTGCCCGGGGATCCCCGGCATCTTCTCACAGACTTGTTCAAAGAGGTGGGAAGGAAACGGGGTGGCTTGTGAGACTACCTGTGGGGCCACCTGGCTGAGCCGGCCTGCTCCCTCCGCCCCTCCCCCTCGCTGCGCCCCTGGGGGCCAGGGCGGGAGGGGCTGTCCCAGACACAATGGAAGCTTCTGGTCCCAGCTTCTGCTCCCCTGTGAGAGGTCCTGGCTGCCACAGCTCCCCAAACAGAGGAGTTTCTCCCACCTGTGGCCCCGGACACCTCGCTCAGATTAGCTTTTGTTCTCCTCGGTTCCTTCATCCATTTGCCCCCCCTTCTCTCTTCCTCCCCTCCCTCTTTCTTCTGGAAATATTAAGTGAGGGCCCAATTATGGGGGGGGACACAGTAGTGCAGAAAATGCTCAAAAGGGCTCAAAAGGGCCTGGAGGGGGACGGAGGCAATGAGAGAGGAGACGTGTGGTTTCCTGGGGCTGTGGACAGTAAGGGGCAGCGGGTGGAGGCTTGGGAGGGGGAGGACGGGTGTGCTCAAGGACACGGGCAGGTGAGTTTCACGGGTAGGAGACTGTGCCAGCGAAGACCCTTCCCTTGCTCCTGATCACAGATGACCAGACTGGGCTCTGAGGGCAGGCGGGGGCCAGGACATTTCCTCCTCTGAGGGGTGCGTTGAGGGCCAGGGAGGGGTGTGTAGCCCCAGAGGGACATGGTCTTCGGGATTCCAGGCCCGTCACTCTGGAGGAAGGATGCTCGGGAGATTAGGGCCTCTGGATCCCCCTCTGAGGCAGCTAATGAAGATCCTAACAAGAGCTAGTGGACATTTCCTGGGGCCCTGGGGTCTGCTCTCCCTCCCTTTGTTCATGGAAGTCCCGAGAACCAGGCCGAGGGGCTCCCCGCAGCTTCCCTGCAGGGTGAGAGCCCCCCTTCCCGTGAGTTGCTGGCATCATTTTGATTGGGTACCTACACTTGTTATCTGCTGTATTTTATACCCACTGTGGGGCTCAGGGACAGGTCCCGATGGCAGAAATCCAACGACTGGTGAGCCATTAAGAGGCAAGTAGAGCGGACCCACTGGGGCTCCTATCCCAGGCCCACCCTGGTGTCCCCAGGCTGGGCAGTAACTTCAGGTAGGCACAGGAAGCGGCTGCAAGCTCTTGGTGCTAAAAAATAACACAACGCAATAGAAACAGCAAACATAAAATAAAACAACGAATAATTAGACGAAACCAAGCGTGAGCTTCCCAGAAGACCGCCTGTGCCGGGAGCGGGGCACCCAGAAAAGCCGAGAAAAGACCAAGCCCGGCCTCGGAGACGGCCACGCCTGCTACTCAAGGGCCCTGCGACAGTCGACCTCTCTGAGCCTTGGTCTCCTCCTCTCTGTGCAGTGATAGCACCACCTCACAGCGTGGGTTCAAGGGCTGAGCAGGCTCGATGTTCCCAGAGAGGCGCGAGGGCCCGGGGGGG